GCTAAATAGAACTCTAGAGAAATCCAGATCCACATTAATAGCAAAAATTACACTAAAATATGTGATGTTATGTGTTCACGGTCTGATCTTTGGTTGTGTAGAGTTCAACAAACTTGGTTTGACATTTTTATTTTTATTTGTTTTATTATGTTCTTTACAATTCTCTTATTATCTCGTTTCCTAGCCGCACCATCTTGGGCGCAGCCGCTCAATACAACACTTTGCCCCCTGCAAATAAATAGCAACATGGATAATGATAGCAACCTGTGGGTATTAAGAGGGCACAACGACTATAGGATGCAGCAGTAACCCGAGGAAAGCATATTTGTACTCAATTATGACAGACATACCTGAAATAAATCAGTGTTAAGATGATAAAAAAAAGCGAGAAGTCACTAATGGCAGTTCAATATCTCAGCTAGATATGAAACAAACCATGTATGAATAACAAACTACAATACGTAGCAAAAGAAAACATAAAATCCATCTCTCTCACTCTCACAGGCCCTAATTTTGGAGATGAGTAGTGCAATAGCAGAAAGCAAAATGGAATTTGCATCTCCAAAGCATAGCAGGCAATCTGTGGGGTAGTAATCTGGAAAGATCGATAAGCAGGGGTGTAACAAAGTATACGGTGAGTGCAGGTAAGTAGCAGATGGTAAACGTAGTGTTTCACATGTGAGAATAATATATATAAGATTATTGTTGAGAGTTATCTACTTAGTCCCTCAAAACTCTGTTCCCCCAACCCCTTTTCTTTTGAACAGGAGCAACTATTATCATATATCAAATTTAGAAAACTATGAGCCATATATATTAAGTAAATGATATAAAAGGAAAATGAAAAAAAACACATAGAATTTCACATGGCTTAAATGGTCCCATATTTTTTTTATCCATCGAAAATGGCAAACAGCTTACCTCTGAAGGATGACACCTGCAACTTCTGCAATTTCCCATGGCTTAAAAGGTCAACTATTTTCTTTAATTAGCATGGTGTCTCCCTTAATGCAGAGGATTAACCTGCCTTTGTTCAGGGACTCGGCCATGACCTGCAACAAAGGAACTGTGACAGACACATGGTGTACTGCAGACAAAAGACAATATGATATGAAACAACAGATCCTGTTAAGGCAAATATGAATATTCCTGGTAAGCCCAAAATACAAATCAAAGGTGAAAGGAGAATGCAGAGCTGTCTAACCTTCATCAGTTATGAAGTTAAACAGCTCTGTTTAACTATGTACACATGGTCGGTAACAACTAACAGCTAGGAAAAAACATGGAGTAAGCCCAAAAGAAAGTTTAATTCTATGTCGGCACTAAATCTTTTTTGGTAGCCATAAAAAAGATATATAATGCTAACACTAATATATGTTGCCTTTAAAACTGACATCAAAACCCTGAATCTTTTTGCTAGCCATAAAAAAAGATATATAATGGTGACACTAATATGTCTTACCTTTGAAACTGACATCAAAACTAACAGCACGAGCAAAGCAAAGATGTTACACCTTAGTGACTTGACATTTGTGTCTAATAGTTCCATGTAGACATGTCATAAAAAATCATGAGGACACTCTGTAGGACATGATACCTACAGAGAAGGGGTCATCCATATATAAAGACAAACCTGATACTCTGTGATAACATGTCAGCTTAAAAAACAACTGATATGTACTAATTAAGTTATTAAGTGGCGACAGATTTGGGGAACTAAAACTTACTCAGCAAGCCTACTTGAGGTGTAATGAGTTATGAAGCAAGCAGTTGTATTTACCTATGGTACACATGATGAGTAACAGGTAGGGAAAAACGTGGACTATGCCCAAAAAGAATTTTAATTCGATGTTGGCCTTGAATCTTTTTGCTAGGCGTAACAAAGGTATATAATGGTAATACTAACATGTGTCGCCCACGAAACCAACGTGTAAACTTTTTTTCTTACAAGTAATACATCCCTGTCAATGAACTTGCTAAAACCAATCAGCATACACGGCCACCACAATCCACAATGCACTGTGGTGTCTTTGGATATAATCAAGAAAGGGATAAAAATGAGTAAATGGATAAAGTAGCAATTATCAATGTGACAATTTCTAGAGGAGGAAGGGGGAGCCGGCATCATCACTAAGGCACCTAGGCACATTAGTTGGCACACACCCAAAAAAAATAGACAGCACATCCCCATTAGATCCTTGGAAACAAAAATCAAAAGTGAAAACAAAGATTGAATCAGGCAGAGGATAAAGTTATGAATGTAACAAAATTAATTTCACATTATTTCGATTTACAATTATTTTCCTACGATTTTCACAAGTTTCTGCATGGGTTAGTACAAATGTGCAAGTTCTATTAGCTCGGTCTGTTCGTCTTTTGGCCGTAACAGCGAACACACAGAGAGAATGAAGGAGGAAACCTGCCGTAGATCGACATCAAGAAGCAATGAAAAGGGTGCCTAACCACTCGCCGGTCGTCTCAAGCCAAGGAGCGGGACCGGATGGCGGCGCTCCAGGTGCGACTCGGCGCGCTTTCCGCCGCCGCCGCCGCCGATGCGTTCTCGGTTGGGGAGCACGGGTTGCTGCTTGCGGACCTCAGCCCCGCAAGGCCGCATGGGAGGAGCGCGTGGCGCTGCTGTAGGGCCTCGCTGCGACGTACTCTGGCATCTGACGCCCTTCTCGCGTGCGTTGGGGTTGCGGGAGGCGCGCGGACGCCGAGCATAGGCGAGGGCGCCGGGAGATGTGAGTCTGGAGCAGCGGCGGAGAGGAAACGAGGCGAGAAGTCAGCGATGGGAAACGCGAAGCGTCGCGTCGCGGGCGCTGCGCCTGGCACCCGCCGCCGCATCAGGAGGGAAGGGGAGAGAGAGAGAGAGAGAGGAAGGGGAGGGCGAGATGGAGGTGAGAGGCAGGCGAGGGAGAGCAGCGGTGGAGGAGGAGGAGGCGCAGGAGGAGGAGGGCGGCCGACGCCGCCGCACCCCGGTCGCGCCCGTCGCCGTGGTCGCGTCGGGATAGAGATTGTCCGGCGATATATAGGTCTAGCTTTGGTAAAATTCGAGGGCTTTTTAAAAAAAAAAACTAAGAGAGGCTGGGACTACGGGTTAATTTGACTAAAATTCAAAAGATTTGTTAAAAAAGACCGGGCTCGCACGATCTAGACCGTCCGCGCGTCCGATCCAATGGCCGGGAAAAGTGGACAACGTGACCACGATGCCTGGCTCTCTCTTGGTAGCAGGATTCCTATAACAAGATGGCCTCACACGCACACTCATGAACGGTGAAGTTAAGAGCTGGAGTGTACAAAGTACAAAAAGTCTACCACGGGTCATGAACAGAATTCAGATGGCCATTATGCAGCACGATCTGTCTGTACTGGAATAGTTACAAGTCTGGTGCCAACTACCAAAAGGAAGAACCAAGGAGGTCCGAGAACAGTTGGATTCTTCAGGTTCAGGAGCGCTTGTTTTTTCTTTATAAAAAATATTATTCTGTAGGGTATGTTATTGCTGATATAATCTATGATAGTGCCCAAACCATGTTGAAGTTCGTGCTTGGTTTTGTTTGATTTACCCTCTCGGTCAACCATATGCATGTCTGATGTCTTGCTGCCCATCTATGATAGACCGACCCTGGCATGTCGAAACCTGTGTAATGCTACCATTGCGAACATACAGGTGAGACTATCATCCATAAGCTAAATGTATGGAGCAACTTCTTTTCAGCAAGCGTGGAGTAAAAATAACGAAAAAGCGATCAAATCACGAGAGAAGATTTGACAACAATGCATATAATTTACATTTAGAATTATATAGAATCTTACTTGATCAATGAGACTAATAAATGATCATGTTTCTACATTGTCTACTGTACAGTATATTTCAAGATGAAACAAATTGCACTCAAAAGTGAAAAATAACTTGTGCAATATGGTGAGGATTCAGGCCCACTTTTTTTCCTTGGAGGAGGAATCTAGGCCCGCTTTTTTATTCAGAGGAATCAAGGCCCACATTTAAGCCTGGCAGGGAGCTTTTTCTTTACCCGGGAGAAACCGTACCGGCCCAGCGCTCGTGGAAAGGAGACGTCTCACTGCGAGGCAGATCAAACCGCGTTTCCCAGTATCAAAAAAAAAAAACGCGTTTCCCGTCGCTGCATCGTCGCGTGAATCCTCTCGAGCGCCGCCGCCGGGAGCCATGGCGCGGTCCCCAGCCGCCTCCACCTCGTCCTACACGGACAGCACGGGATCCTCCTCCGACTCGGGCTCCACCTCCTCGGGGAGCGACCGCCGCCGCCGCCACCGCCACCGGAGCAGCAGCCGCCGCAAGGACGGCGCGTCCTCGTCCGCGCTGAAGGCGCGCAAGGACCGGAGGTCCCGCCACAAGCGCCGCCGCCGCGAGCGGGAGCACTCGCGGCGGCGGTCCCCGTCCGACGACGACAGCTACAGGTGAACTGATCCCCCTCTTCCCTCTCGGCGTTTCTCTACCTAGGGTTAGGAGGATAAAGGGTTGTCTCGTGATCGATCTGGAAGGTGCGGTTCGTGATCCGAAGGGTGGAACGAGAGAAAGCAGCCTGTGATTAGTGTTGGTGTTGGATTCTGCGTTTCATTCGTGAATTAACTCGTTTTTATGCTTATGTTGGGATTGATGGAACGGCGATTTGGAGTTCACGGTTTTTTATTTGGATGGGATTGTACCAGATGTGGATGTTATATTGGGCAATATCCTGGGATTTTTGGTGTGTACATCATTTCACCTGAAATCCCACATACCACATATCATAATTCTTATCATTTCACCTGAAATTGCACATATCATAATTCTTATTGTGTTCCAGAGTATATTTGAAATAGTTAGATACTGCAGCTAAGGCAGTCTGAACTTAATGGTGGATATTGTGTCCGAGAGTACATTTGAAATAGTTAGATACTGCAGCTAAGACAATCTGAACTAATGATGGTTTCATGATTAAATTGATGAAGTCGATTTAGGGGAGACTGGTTAGGAGCAAGTACGCAAATTTGGTGAACATGTATATGGCTTCCTGAACAAGCAACTGCTATAGCCATTTTGTTGTTTCTGACTGAACAAAGGAAAACTTATATTTCCATGGGGTTCTTCCTGGTTTTCTCATACTGAAGTATGTTGTTCTCATTGTAGCAGCACAAGCTCTTATGACAGTGACCGTGAGGTGTCTGGCAGATCTCGGAAGCATAAGAAGAGCAGCAGATCAAGAAAGGTACTGGTCCAGTGATTTGTGCCTGATTGATGTTTTCTTAAGGTTTTCATGCGCAGGCATCTAAATATGTCTTTGGCTTCATTGCATTTCCTTGTGTGACAGTCTAGGGAGAGGGAGCGAAGCAAAGATAGGCATCATAGACGAGACAAGAGTAAACACAAAGAGGTAAATTTCCTATTTATTCAGAAACTACTAAACTTTTATGATGGCTTAACATAACATGTTGGTGATAGAAGTATATTTTATCATTTATACTTCCACACAAGAGGTCCTTATATTTCTTTGTGCCTGTTTCTGGGCTGGCTCTTTGACATTGGAGCTGGGGCTGATGAACGGGTAACAACATGGTGGATTGGTCTGCTGCTTGTCCTGTTGGTTGTGTTCTATTATAAATGGGGGAGCTTTATACAGATGAAAGAGAGTGAGCATGCTGATGGCCCTGTCCAGCTTTCCAAGGTATAATATATTTTGTTTTGCATTCTGTGTACTTTGTTGCGTTTATCAGTTTGAAACATCCTTTATTTTATCCATTAGTTTCTTGGACGCGACAAAGAAAAGGAAGAAGGTCCTCAAAGGAGTGCAATCTCTGGTAAAAAGGTGAGGATAAAAAACAAATGATGAGCTTGTCATTTTTCTTACAAGCGCAATGAAAAGCAAAGCGAGAGTTGCATTTAACTGACCGACTTCATTTGTAGATAATGATGAAGCTTGAGAAGACAAAGGAAGACAAGGCTGCTGAGAGCAAGCGAAACGAACTGTTGAAGTTCCTGAATGCCAGTTACGATTGATGGGTTGGAATTGCTGGCGCGAAGGTGCAGAATGCCCGCTTGATTGTCGCCACACTGGTGCTTTTGGTGATACTTATAAGAGTTTTGTTTCTTGTCTATAACTTGGCCACCAAATTTTTTTATGCTTTACTAGCAACCGAGTGAAGGTGTACTGTAATTGATTTGAATTTTATGTTGTCAGTCAAGAATTTCCAGCTTTTGAACTTGCTTTTGTGATTGCTCCTTGTTTTTTGTCAAACTGTTTCATTGGGGATTCATTGTTCTTGTGGCAGCTTACTGCCGTGGATGGTGACGCTTCAGTGCCAAGCTCAATCGTTGTTGATTCGTGAAATTGTTGGTATCCTTGTGTATAATCATTTTGACTCGAGTGCCACTCCCTGCCAGAGACGCCGAGCTGCTCAAAATTTGATGTGAGCATCTGGCTCAGTTGAACCACAGCATCAATTGGTCGTCGGATAACGTAGTACTATGCGGCAACGTCAAATTTCAATGACAATGGAATTGTTTTGTGGGATTCCTGTGTTAGGCAGTGTTCGGTTATGGGGAAACAGTGCCACGTTACCGTTCCTACCAGGAATGGTAGTTAAATTTATATAACCGTGAATGAGTGGAACGATTTCTGGTCAGGAATCTCCCTAATCCAACGGGCCCTTATGGAACTTGTTGTTTTACGTGGACTTCACTAGTGCATATCACCCTATCTAAATATGTTCAGGACCATACCGTGATACACGGCTATGACTTTCTATGCTAGTTATTCGATCATGAACGCTCAACGAGCTATAAGTACAACCGCCGATTTTCAGTTGTTTTATTACATGAAATTTATTTAATCCATTACATATAATCATAAAATCTACAGATGGTGGCGGAGTCCTGGCTGGCATGAAAAACGATAATGCCGCTTCGCTTCCTCCGTCCCGTGGCTCTCACAGCCTCTGCGGCGCCAGTCGCTAGGCTCTGCCACTGGAGTCACGCCTCCCACCCGCCCCCGCCCTCATCGCCGTCGTCGGCGCCGGCGTCCTCCTCATCACCACCTCCTGCGGCTGGAGACGGCAAGGCATCGCGGCCGTGCTGTACCTCACGCCGGCCTCGAGGATGCTCGTGCCCCGGTAGCGGAAGAAGCTCGCGAGCGGCCAAGTCCGTGGTGCTCTTCGCTTCGCCGCCTCCCAGCCCTGATCTGCCCATCGAGGCGGTTACCGAGTTCCTCAGTGTGCCTGACGTGGTGGTCGTCGCCCACTAGATTGTCGCGCCTGACATGTTGCAAGCGTATGTTTCAAGTGTTTCAGATGTTTCAGAGGTATGTTGCAAGTGTTTCAGGGGCATGTTGCAAGCGTTTGTTCAAAATGTTTCATGTGTTTTCAGACGTATGTTTGCCAGCGTTTTTTATTTGGATGCTGCATATGTTTTACGCATGTTGCAAGAGTATGTTCCAATGGTTTTAGCTATTTCAGTCTTACGTTGCAGTAAGTGTTTTCATGTTGCAAGTTTGCAAGTGTTTTATCTAGACATTGCATATGTTTCACACACATGTTTTAGGTGTATGTTCCAAATGTTTCATCTGCTTCAGACGTATGTTGCATTCAAGTGTTTTATGTTTCAGAGGGGTGTTCAGATAGTCATGGGGGCATGGCCCAAGCGCCAGGGGATTGGGCACGACGAGCCAGGTGCAGGCGGATGGGACGCGCTGGGGCCGACGATCGAGGTACATGGGCGCGCCTGGGTCCTACAGACGGGGCCATGCTCGTCCTCATCACAGCTCCTGGGTCCCACCCGCACGGAGAGAGAGAGAGGAGTGGGTCGCTAGAAGGAGTCGCAGGCGCAACGATAAGGGCGGGGTGTGCATGCGGGCGTGGGGCGAGGCGGATAGGGGCAGGCTACGTGGGCGTCTAGACACGCGCGTCCATCCGGACGTCCAGGAGCTAGCCACGTGAAAGCTCTAGTTTGGTTTTGGTGAATTGATGAAACCCTAAGTGCTAACCTAGTTTATCAAAGTGATCATGAGATAGGTAGCACATTCCAAGTGATGGAGCAAGTGGTGAAGATCATGATGATGGTGTGACCATGGTGATGATCAAATGCTTGGACTTGGAAAAGAAGAAAGAGAAAAACAAAAAGCTTAAGGCAAAGGTGAAACTTGATAGGAGCTTTTTGGTTTGGTGATCGAGACACTTAGCGAGTGAGATCACATTTAGGATCGATAGCCGTACTATTAAGAGGGCTGAAACTCGTATCGAAATGCGGTTATCAAAGTGCCACTAGATGCTCTAACTCATTGCATATGCATTTAGATCTAGTGGAGAGATAACACCCTTGAAAATGTTTGTGAAAATATGCTAACACATGTGCACAAGGTGATACACTTGTTGGTTGGCACATTTGAGCAAGGGTGGAGAAGTTGGTGAAGTGAAGGAGGTGTTTTTCACTGAAAATCAGTGACCCAACTGAAAGGGTCGAGATGGCGGACTAGAGGGGGGTGAATAGTCTTTTCTAAAATTAATCGCGTCGGCTAACCGATATAAATGCGGAATTAAAACAATCGGTCTAACCAAGGCTACATCCCTCTATATATGTTCACTAGCACCTTGCTAAGATACCAATTATGCAACAAAGGTGCCGGGCTAGCTAGAGCTCTCCTAAACAATTCCAAGAGCAAGGTTACACAAACCTATGCCACTAGTATTTTAAGCAACAAGAGAGCTCCTACACATGCTAGTAAGCAAAAGCACAAAGCTAACTATGCTCACTAGCAATGCTCAATAACAAGGCAACCAATGCCTAATTAGAGAGCGCAAGTACTTAGCTACACAAACTAAGCAATGTGACTAACAAGGTTACTAAAACCAAATTAGCCACGCAAGGGAGCTACTTCTATGCTACACAAGCAAGAAGGTAATTAGCAGGCTACACAAGCTATCTAATTACAAGAGCAACTACACAAGCTTAATATATATAAAAGTAATTGCAAGCTTGTGTAATGGGGATGCAAACCAATGGGAAGAACAAGGTTGACGCGATGATTTTTCTCCCGAGGTTCACGTGTTTGCCAACACGCTAGTCCCCGTTGTGTCGACCGCTCACTTGGTGGTTCGGCGGCTAATTAGCATCACCCGCTAAGCCCGCACATCGGGCGCCACAAGAACCTACCCTGAAAGTGAGGGTAGCTCAATGACACGCTTTACTAAAGTTGCTCTTCACGGCTCCCGCGGGGTGAGCACAATGCCCCTCACAAAAGCTCTTCTCCGGAGCCCCGCACAAGCTTCTTGCGGGCTTCGACGGAGACCAACACCAAGCCGTCTAGGAGGTGGCAACCTCCAAGAGTAACAAGCACCTCCAGCTTGCAACTTGATCACCTAGTGCCACTCGATGCAACCTCATGATGCAATCGCACTAGAATCGCTCACTCACACAATCGGATGATCACTATCAAGTATGTGTGAGATGGAGGGCTCCCAAGCACTACTACACAAAGCCACCAAGGCTCTAGTGTGCTCAGCTACCGGCCCAAGGCCGACCATGGCTTCTATTTATAACCCCACGAACAAATAGAGCCGTTACCCCTTCACTGGGCAAAAGTCAGGACGACCGAACGCTCCGGTCCGATCGACCGGACGCTGAACCTCAGCGTCCGGTCACGTGATACTCACCACGTGTCCCCTCCTTCAAACGTTGTTCTTCCGATCTCAACGGTCATCTGTCGACCGAATGCAGCAGCTTCAACTGACCGGACGCTGAGCCTCCAGCGTCCGGTCGTTTCCAGTAAGGTTCCAGAAACGACATTTCACGACCGGACGCGTCCGATCGATCACGATCGGACGCAGCACCAGCGTCCGGTCACTCTCCAGCTTCTGCTCTGCCTGCGTCACCATACATCAGCTCTGACCGGACGCTCACAGCCAGCATCCGGTCACTACGTGACCAGCGTCCGGTCCACTCTGTGAGATCCTGTCTTTTCTATATAGGGCGCCGGTGGAGTTTCTCCTTTCGCCTCCATTTCTTCACCGAGTTGATCCACATCAACTCCAACTTCATCTCCTTTGTAAATGTGCCAACCTCACCAAGTGTACACCACCATGTGTATGTGTGTTAGCAATTTCACAATCATTTTCCAAAGGATTAGCCACTCAACTTGCCACGCCACTCGATCCTAGCAACGATGCAAAGTTAGATCACTCGAGTGGCACTAGATGACCGATATGCAAACAAGTTTGCCCCTCTTGATAGTACGGCCATCTATCCTAAATCCGGTCATAAACTTCTCTACACACCTATGACCGGTGAAATAAAATGCCCTAGGTTATACCTTTGCCTTGCGCATTCCATTCCATCTCCTCCAATGTCGATGCAACACATGCACCAACATGATCAACAATGATATGATCCACTTCATATCATCACATGATCATATTGGTTCATCGATCTTGACTTCACTTGCTCTTCACCGTTGCCATCGTCCATCGGTGCCAAGTCTTGCTTAAGCTTCACCGCCACGCGGTCCATCACTCCAAAGCCTCCGACTTGCCCTTCACGCTTGCAACCGGTCCATCAAGCCAAGTCTTGTCTTGATCTTCTCCACCTTGATCACATGACTCAATGTCATGTCTCATTTGCAATAAGCTCCTTCATCATTACATGTGTGAGCTTTGCAACATCTCCAAGCCATTGTCACCTTCATGGCATATGTTGCTCACACACATGTACCTGTGGACTAATCACCTGTGTATCTCACATAAACACAATTAGTCCACCTAGGTTGTCACTCAATTACCAAAACCAAATAAGGACCTTTCAATCTTCCCCTTTTCGGTAATTGATGACAACTCTACAAAGATATGGAAATTAAGCTCTTTTGGATTCATATTGCTTGCCCAAGCAATTTTACCAAGTGAAAATGATTTTGGACAAGTACCACAAACCCGAAATGGTAGTATTTGCTCCCCCTATATATGTGCTAGAGTATTTGTTTCTAAGCTCACACATATGCATAGATTGAAAATGTG